ACACTAGAATCAAAAAAGATATACACAAGTTCAGTTTACACTTGAATCAAAAAGGTAAACTTTGATTCAGTTTACACTAGAATCAAAAGTCCAATTTTCAGCACAGTCAAAGTGTAAACATTGGTCCAATTTACACTAAAGTCTAAAAGCTTGACATCGCTTCCTAGTATACTTAAGTCTACAAATATTCAACTGGGGCGTGCCTCGTTTTGGATTTGATTTTCCCACTGTATTATATGTCCCACCAACAGGGCAAAATATAAGGTATATTTCTGTATATGTGGTGGTACTGGTATAGTAGCAGGGCGTTCTTTTTCGAGGATACCAATCGACTAGAGCGGTTAACCAATCCCTGTTGCAGACGCCTGGTCTACCATATTTGTGCTTGTTCAATATCCAAAAGAACCCACCTATGGTTTATACTGCAACTACGCTGAGAGCACCTTAATTACAGTTTCTGGGCTAGAGCATAATCAATAGTTTCAACAAGGCCAGTACGCTTAAACCCTCTGTCACAATGACTTGGGACTTCGTGCTACTACAACCATCAACGGTTTCACTCACAGGGTTTTGGCCAGCTGGTGGCATGGTTTTTCTGGTACTTTCCAAAGGTGTCGCAGACCCAGAGCGATACATCAAGAAATCACCTTCCTGAAAAATTGATTTTGATCACTCGGCCACGCGCTCATGTTTCTCTATATCCATGATTTTTTTTTGTTGAGTCTGAAGGAGATATATTGGCCAACTGCTGGAATTTTAGCTAGATAGCTGAAAACATTAAATGTTGGCACTGGCAATTTTTTTTTGTTATCGTCGGAAGTTCTCGAATTCTAGAAAGAGTTCATCTTGAATTTTACAGACGAGATATAGAAAAAGAAGCTATGGAGACTCATGATCACCAACGCCCTAAATGGTCATGGTAAATAGAAGAAACTTAGCTTCGTCTGAACCGATTAAGAATCTAACTATTTTTTCTGCGTTACTAATCAAATTATTACTGCTTTTCATGGTACGTGATTAAAATTGATTTACTAAGAAAACCCTCATCTGGCATGAGGTCTAACATATGAAACACCCGGTGAAGATTCGATCTGTCAATTTCAAGGGAATGGTTCTAAGTCTTTTACTTCATAAGCTTAGTCTGGTAAAAGGCTACGTTAAAGGAGAACCCAACTGTGTACGGAATATTACGAACGATGTATTCTGAGAGATGAACTTGCCTCACAATAATTTAGTTGTTTCTCTCACGGACATTTCTGAAGCTATCTATTTATTTAAACGATTCTAAACCGTTTCTTTTTCAAATTTTCAACAGACTCCACTTAGACAAGCCCAAACCTATCACGCTGTTTAATTTATTGCTGTCGACACTAATCCAGCAATATTGATTTTGCAATTAACGACTTATGACCAGAGAGATGAAGGCGACCTAGGAAACGCTAACCCATCGAATGAGTATTACAGTCTCATCCCCATGTGGTACTCGATATGGGTAAGTGGATCGAATATATCCTATTGGAGCAGCAGATGTCTGCCGTATTAAACAGATAAAGGTATACAATGACCTGGAAATAAATAAATTGCGCATGTAAGTCGAAGTAAGATAAAAAAAAAATATCTGTTTGATTTAAAACAAAAGCAACAAAAGAGTTGTCATTAAAATTAGACATTAAGGCCCACCGATAAATCTCAAGTCTCCGTTTGGTTTAACGAAGACTTCAAACATTTGTACGCATGCGCAATTATTTTTTTTTTTTCCACTCGCCTGTTAGGACGACATTTTTACAACAAATTTCAACAGGCCCGGGATGTTTTATTTTTTCGATTATTTTTTTTAAAATCATTTCACACCAAGCAAGGCAATAAAGTGACTAAAATGCAAGCGGTTACTAAGTGTAAAAGAATATGTCAAAAAGAAAAGGGGAGAGAACAATAAAAGAAGAGGAATTAAGAAGACAGAAAATTGACACTGCATTTCAATTTTTGAAGATTAAAGTTAACAGGAAAGTTAAAGGCCAGATGAGAGTTCCACAAATAAGAAGTGAGAGAGAAGAAACTGTTAGCTAGAACTTGCTGCATTATAATGGGTCTAAATAAAATGATATTTAAATGAAATTCATCTTATATATATATATATATATATATATATATATATATATATATATATATATATATATATGTGTGTGTGTGTGTGTGTGTGTGTGTGTGCATAGACTTATTAAAACCTTGTATGTGATATTTTGTTCCAATACCTCTAGCTATTTTTAAGGAACTTCATTAATCCTTGCTCCTATATCTTGGGATCTTTCCGAGTGCTGTCCTAGTCTTAGTGAATTTTATAGACTTCCATAGAATTGATGTTTTTCCCGTTAACAAAATTGTACAGGTATAAAATCAAGTGTTAAACCGTGACATTTTAATTTTGATTTGTTGTTATCTGATTTTGAAATTTAAAAATAATTTTTTGCTCACCAGCTATTTACTATTACCTGAGGAAGCACAACTGTATTGCTGAAACATGAAAGCTATTGTGTAGCGATTTTTAACATATTTTAATCTCATTCATATATATATATTAAGGAATGGACAAGGTCCGACAATTTATTCATTAAAGACATTTTTATGTTTAACGTTGTTATTTATAGATACAAGTATTTAAGCAAATGCTCTGTTTATAATAAACAGTATTAAATAACATTTACCGGCCTGAATGTCCGAGAAATTTTCATAGAAAATATTCGTTCTTTGACAGGATTCGAACCTGCATCCTATACGGAACCGTCATTTACACCGACATGCCTTAACCGTCTCGGCCACAAAGAACCTTTTTGAAGTTTATAAGCAGTAAATTCGACCTTGTCTAACGAAAGGCACGTCAGCGTAAATGACGGTTCCGTATAGGATGCAGGTTCGAATTGTCAAAGAACGAATATTTTCTATGAAAATTTCTCACATTCAGGCCGGTAAATGTTATTTAATACTGTTTATCATAAACAGAGCATTTGCTTAAATACTTGTATCTATAAATAACAACGTTAAACATAAAATGTTATATATATATATATATATATATATATATATATATATATATATATATATATATATATATATATATATATATATATATAGTGTTTCTGTGTTTGGGCAGCAGATCATTATTTAAACATATATTATTAAATGTAACAGACAATGAATGTCTATTATGTCTGATCATGAGCCATTCTGAGGTTCATGTGTTTGCTTTATTTTCGGGAGAAAATAAAAACAAAAATTGTCCAACATTTGGATATTTTTTTATTAAGTTGTCTGAATCTTTCGGCTCTCATAAGCCATCCTCAGTGTGGTTATACATGAAACAAAGATATCCACCGTCAAAGATGATATTTTGTTATTTTGGTATAAAACATTGTTATGCGACGATAACGGTCGCGGAATAGCAGACACAGATCGTAAGTTCAAGATGTGGTTCTATGACGTCATACCACGTGATAGATCGAAGTATTTCAACAGAACCAATGTCAACATGCAATGTAATGTGTTGTGACTCGTTTGAAATGTAATTTTGTTGAGTGTAGGTTGCTTCCTTTTAATATAGATGGCCTCCAATATCTGAAGGCTACTTTTACTGTGTCTACGTGTGAGTATTCTTATCGTACATAATATTAGACAGATAGTAGTTCATAACACAACAATAATCACGGATACACACAGTAAAAAGAACCGTCAGATATTAGGAGGCCATCTATGTTAAAACGAAGCAAAACAAACTCAAAATTTCAAACATGTCTGTATAACCACACTGAGGATGACTCCTGTGAGCCGAAAGCTTATAACCAACTTAATTAAAAATATATCCAAATATTGGACGATTTTTGTCTTTATTTTCACCAGAAATCAAAGCAAACATTCGAACGGCTGATGATCAGATATAATAGACATTCATTGCCTGGTATATATATATATATATATATATGTGTGTGTGTGTGTATAGATAAGTACAAGTACCCTACATCAGGATGTCATTTTTTTTATTCTTTTGAATTCTATCCAGTAAATATTAATTTCATTGTTTATATCTATATATCTATTATGAAAGGGACAAAGAATTATTTTAAGACATTTTTATGTTTATACATTCTTTTTATAGATACAAATATTTAAGTAAATGCTCTGTTTATAATAAACAGTAATAAGAACATTTACTGCCCTGAATATCCGAGAAATCTTGATAGAAAATATTCGTCCTCCGACAGGTATCGAACCTGTATCCTATACGGAACCGTCATATAGCCTGACGTGCTTTTACCGACTGAGCCACAGTGGAGCGTCTCGGTTAGCAAGGTCGATTTTACTGTCTTTAAACTACAATTCTCCATGATTTTCTCAATGCGTATTCAGAGGTACATCACACATTATGAAATGCACAAAGTCCGACAATTATTTTAAGACATTTGTTTATGTTTATAAAAAGAACATATAAACATTAAAAAATGCCATAATATATAAATATAAATATAAATATATATGTGTGTGTGTGTGTGTGTGTGTGCAATGTTCATGCTTGTAGTTATTCTATACGCAGCATGTGATGAAGTGTCTCTTAGGGTAAACCTCTAATTTTCAAAACAAATATGTCGGTAAAAGGTCTGGTGCAAAATACACGAGTTCCATGGGATCGGCTAAGGTAATAATGTCAAGCTGACCACTAAGTACAAAGAGAAACACTGGCAAGGGTATTTTTTCTTCAAATACGCCTTTCATTTCTCCTTCTGTTAAATAAGAAAAAAGGGACGTTTGAATTCAGCCTCACCAACAGACGCGTATTAGAAAGAGAATAGATGTTTAGAAACTATTAACAAAATGACACAAAACAAAATCAATCTGAAATAAAGGTAATCTTCGTCTTCTCTCTTTCTTACTTTCAATTTTTTCTTTCTTCATTTCTGTCATCTATACATTTGTCTATATATCCCAATCGCTTCCTATCTATTTATATACCTATGTATCTATCTCACTTTGGTATCTATCTATCTATCTATCTATCTATCTATATAAGTCTCTTATCTATTTATCTATCTATCTGTCTGTCTGTCTATCTATCGAAGTCTCTTCGTATATCTATCTATCTATCTATCTATCTATCTATCTATCTATCTATCTATCTCAGCCTGTTCATCTCTCTCTCTCTCTCTCTCTCTCTCTCTCTATCTATCTATCTATCTATCTATCTGGGTCTCTTCGTATCTATCTATCTCGTTGCTATCTATCTATCTATCTATCTATCTATCTATCTCAGTCACTTGCTATCGATCTATTTATCTCAGTCACTTGGTATGCATGTACAGATTTTCTAAGCGCTGCTTAGATGTGGCACAAGGCCAGAAGTATGGAGCACCCAGTGAGGATCGAACTCACTACTCAGTTGCAATTGTTCTAGCGAGAAGACAAGCTTTCCGAGGTGCCTATGTATGTATGTACGTACGTACGTACGTAGCAATCTTGGGCGCGTGATTAGAACGTTCGCTTTCTGACCAGGAGAACCGGGTTCGAATCTCACCATGGTTGATTTGTCAGGAAGGAGGCATCCTGATGTTATCGGTCTGGAGTGGGGACGATCGTGCGGCGCCTTTGACTGAAAACCATATCACGGGTTGAGCCAAACCTTGTGAGTGAAACTGGATACACGGAACACTTGGGGGGATCGTCGATAGCTGTTCTAACACGAAGTCACAAGTCATCGTGACTGAGGGTCTGAGTGTGCTTGTGTTGTTCAGATTGTTGATCATTCTAGATAACACGCTCTCTCCCAGAAACTGTAACAACGGTCTGCTTAGCATAGTTGCAATATACACTACAGGTTGGCTCTGTAATTGTTGAACAAATAAAAATGTGCCTGAGCGAGAGTCTGCAATGGGGATTGGCTAGCCACCCAATTAGACGGATATCTTCCATTACGAGTGGCCAGCTATCTATCTATCTATCTATCTATCTATCTATCTATCTATCTCTCATCCTATTCATATCTAATTATGTTCATAGTATATCTATCTATCTATCTATCTCGATCTCTTAATATATATACCTATCTTAGCTGTTGGGTATCTATCTATCTATATCTATATCTATATATCTATATATATATATAGAGAGAGAGATGCAAAAAGAGGGATTGCTGCTGAAATAAACAATTATATATATATAATATCTTTTTGCAACTTTCGTAAATCGACTGACAAGGTACTGCGGTTAAGTTTGTTTTTTTTTGTTTTTTTTTACTTTCCATGTTGGTAGGTTGGCGGCTGGGTCATAACAAAACTTGTATAAAACAAGGATTGCTGCCCTAATACACAATTATTAGATTACATTAACCGGCAGCCAACAAGGATAATAAAACTTAACCGTAGTATCTTGTCAGTCGTTTAAAAAACAGTAGATATTAGGTTGGTGCAAAAATAATGACGTAATATTGTCGTTTTTTGACGTATTTTTTAACGTTAAAAAACGACATTCTTACGTCATTATTTTTGCACCAACCTAATATATTTATATATATAGTGCTCAATAGTAAAGATATTAAAATAATCCGTTTTCGAAGTTTCTTGCTAAAATTTCCAATCTTCAGAGGTTCTGTTTTTAAACCGTATTTCCAATTATTTTTCAATTTTTTTTCATTTGTTCCGCGTCTTTCTCAATCCGCTTTTATACATGTGCGTATTCTTAAGTGTTTAGTATACCAGAATCTTCCATGTTTTTGCGTGTCTTTGTTCTCATAGAATCATTAGGCGATATACTCAAAAGATTCGTTAATATTAAATGGATGCATTATTCGTAACAGAACACGTATACATACATATATATATATATATATATATATATATATATATAGATAGATAGATAGATAGATAGATAGATAGATAGATAGATATAATTATTTATTTAAAAATATGATTCCAACGCTACAAATAAATAATTATATTTATGGTCTACTTTTGTATCGAGCACTATTTTTAAAAATAATAACAAAAATACTAAAGAACTTTGGATTATTTACCTAACAAGTTCTTTTCTATTTTCTATATATTTTACACACACACACACACACACACACACACACACACATATATATATATATATATATATATATATATATATATATATATATATTATATTTTTTTATATATTTTATTCCTTAATAATATTAGGTTAGTGCAAAAATAATGACGTAATAATGTCTTTTTTTGACGTATTTTTTAACGTTAAAAAACGACATTCTTACGTCATTATTTTTGCACCAACCTAATAGAATTTTTTTAATTTATTCTTTCTTAATATAAATTATCTAAATATGATTTATTGATAATCTTGCTATATATCTTATTTGTAAGAATACTTTAATAATAATTAATAATTAAAAATTTCGTTTTATAAAACTCCTTTTCTGGCCTTCCTTTAGTTTTATTTCATCTTTCTTATAACTCCAATTTGGGGAATGAAGGTTAATATCTGGGTTGAAATTGTGGAGCTTCTTTCCTTTTAAAACATATATCATCCGCCCTCCCCATTACCACTACTTGCGCAGTCTGGCCTGCCTAAAATTCAATATGGATAGACTCTGTATCAATCTTTCAACGTATTACTGTCTTTGCTAAATATTAAATTTTAAATTTGTAGTTCCGACCCTGAATACAGTCCACCGTCTGGGTTGAATAAGGTTGACGTAACCGACGCCAGTTTAAATAGACTATACCCATGAAATAATTTTGGATTTCTCTGTTGTGTAATACTGGGTGTAAAAGCAAAATTGTCCAAATCTTGTAACAGCATGGGATAATTGTCCATCACAGAAAAAAGGGTTTAATATCTAAAAACCACTACATTAATTGAGTTTCCGGTTTTCTGATAAGACATTTCACTATCCTGACACCATTTGTCGTAAGAATTACTGAAAAACACTTTGAGCTATTCAGCTAGAAAGGGAACAGGTTAAAATCATTTTGTTTCAGCCCCACTGTCTTCCCAAATGAGCAATAGTGAGAGGAAAAAGATCATTCAGACCTTCAGTAATGGTACAAGCATTCATACTGTGGCTTCAAAGTCCATTCAAGAATCATGAAGAGGACGGTGATAAGTTTTAAAAAAGAGGCAACAGTAGAGGGCAAAACTGGATCAGCAGATCACAACAGGAAGAGAGATCATCATCACTAAAAATAAAAATCAGAAAAGATCCAACTCAATTCATAAGACAGTGAGAGGGAAGTTTCAGCTGTGACAGTCCAAAGAGAAAAGACTTGAAAATGAACTCACACATGACACATGTGAGGGAATTTGTTACTCCAGGGCAGAAAGTTAGAAGGTTAGATAGGGCAAAGATCATTTTGAATAAATTGTAAAATGATCCTAGAACAATATATATATATATATATATATATATATATATATATATATATATATAAACAAACTTCATTTCAATCCTTCATGAGCTTTCGATCGTTAGCTATGATTAATTAATCATTAACATGTCATTTATGATCGATTTTATTACAATTCTCTATTAAGCTTGGAGAGTAATTATTCATTCTTATGGCCCCAACTAGTGTTCAATAGTGCTATAAAAACCTCACAGAATTCCAGTAAAATATCTTTAATCATTTCTAAATACAATATGTTTGTGTGTATGTGTACATACTGATCTTTTCCAGTTGTTTAATCAATTCCTTTATGAAACAAACCTGGAAAATTCTCATTGACAACACCAATATATAATACATCATTGAAAATAAAAAACAAAAACTTCAAATTCTAGAGGTCTTTTATATCAAATTTAATCAACCAACACTCAACAAATTTATTACAAATATAGTAATAACATATTAAAGTGCATGTAACATTTAATGCCTTTTAATATTTCTACCAATTTCCAGTTCCCTTTTATTGAAACGCTTGGTTAGCGCGTTCGTGTATGTTTTTGAAAATTCGCCATCACAACGGAATGCAGATTTTATCGCAGTTACAATAAGTTCGTCTTTGTAATCGATCCCTGAAGATGATCTTAGAAAAGGTAGAAAGTAGTTGGGTTAAAAAAAAACTACGGTGCCTTCCTTGATGAATTCCATCTCAGCATCAAGAAACTGATTAGACAACTGGAAAGGATTAATATAAAACTAAGTTCACACATTATGTCCGTATTATTCAGTGAAACACATTTGAATGAAAATATACTGCATAAATATATATATACACACACACACACGCGCACACACACAGACAGATACACACATACACAGACACACACACACACGCATACACACACAAACACACGCACACACACACACACACACACACACATATATATATATATATATATATATATATTGGACAATAAAAAATTTTAAAAAATTAAAATTTTCAGACACACTGGGTTGTATATTAATATTCTTTCGTTTTTATTATCATTTCATTTAGATTCCTCGACTAGTTTCGGCCAACATGGCCATCATCAGGAAAGAAAAAAAATTCTGCTTGCTGGTAGCAGTGAACTACAGAAATGAATGTCTTGATGGAGAAAATTAACTTTTGTCTGTAGTTTTCATTTGCTTTTTTTTTTTTTTTTTTTTTAGCATGAATTTTGGTCAGACCTTGTGTTGGTCAAACAGTCTCTTTTAAGTTGTTATTTTAGATAAGAACTGGATGGATTCATGTTGCACTGAATTCCCTTGGTCATTTTGACAGTTTTATTGGTTCCTGGAAAGGGGATGTGTCTCTGTCAAGTGTGTGTGTGTTATTTGGCTCTTAGGAAGTGAGTGAGTATGATGTTTGTAAGCATGTATATTACTATCGGTGTGTGTTATCATTTGGCTCGTTAGGGAGTGAGTGAGTATGATGTGTGTAAGTGTGTATATTCGTGTAGGTGTGTCTATAAGTGTGAGGCCTCAACACCTCCGTAAGCATGTCTATCTTGTGTGGGTGAGAAATGTGGGTAGGTTTTGATTTGTAGTGTTATATATTAATACTATCTATATTGTTAAATTTGTGATTAAGCCCGTCTGGATAGTGCGTTTTTAAACGTTATATTCACTTATTTTCATGGAACACTGACAACTTTCTCATGTTATCTGCTCTGAAATTTACTATTCTATCAATTATAGTGAATTTGGCATGGGTATTAAAATCGTGTTTTTCTAAGCGGAAATGTTGTTCTACAGGTAATAATCTTTCATGGGAGTCGATTTAATTCGATTGCGATAATTATTAATTCTATAGTGAAAAATTCTATTATTAATTCTATAGTGAAAAATTCTATTATTAATTATATATATATATATATATATATATATATATATATATATATATATATATAGGTGTGTGTGTGTGTTTTGTTGTTGTTGTTGTTGTCGTTGTGTGATTGCGTGTCTGTATGTGTTAAGCAGATGACAGTTCCCAGACAAGTAGCCTATGAATATGTTTCTAATATACATCTACTCCAAGGTAATTTGAAATTGCTAATTACATCTCCAAGAAAAGGACGACAATAAAAGTTTTGATTGTGATTGTCGTCCAAATATTTTTCTTTCTTATTTTCTCCTTGTGCTTCGACTGTCGATTTGATTTCACTTCGTGTTTGGATAATTTTTACCAGTGTTTCTCTTTCTCCAGTTACAAATTTAGATTAAGACTATCAAGCGATAGATACGGAAATTCTGGACACGCATGCGCATTAATATTTTCCCTTTTCTCCTTTTTATGATTCAAGCGATACATAATTTATATCGATGTTTATAAGTTTTCTTTTTGTACATGGCTAATTATACAAGCTGTCAGATTTTGATGGAAACGTTTGTTTTATTTATTTATTTACCAGCTATTTTATGTTCGTTTTATTTTTTCCTTTCTGCTTTCTTTAATATAATTTTTGCCATCATTGTGTTGTCTTCATTTGCTTCAGCTTCTTTTTGTTTCTTTTTATCCGAGCTTCTATTTCCTTTTTCGTATATAATTCTTCCATTTTTATCCTTTATCATCATGTCGTCTGCTGTTTCATTGGATTTTTTAATTTAATACATTTCACTCTAAATATTACCTTTTTTATTTATTCCGTCATTTTCTCTTTTTCTATCTCCCCATAAGCTTCGCATTTACGCGCATCCATTTGCTCCGATGTGCATGATAACCGCCATCTCCGTACCCATCCTTCCCTTCGGCCTTCCGCTTCATTTTATTATTTTTTTTCCTTTTAAGTTTTTCTGATATTTTTTTTTAAAAATTAGTTCGATTTTATTTTATCTTTCCATTGATTTTTAATTTTCATTCATTTCCTATATTTTCCCTCGTTTTTCTTTCTTGAGTTCTGCTAGCGAACATGCAAGTGTCAATTGAGAATTTTACGTGGAATCATTTTCGTTTGTTTGTTCGAGTTTCATGTCTATATATTTTAACTATTTATCAAAAACTGATCTTCTATCTGTTGTATTTCAGTCTTTCTTTGTTATGTATCAACATTTCATTCTTCTTTCTTTTCTTAGCCTCTTCATTTTTTTTTTTTTTTTCCCGCATAAAATCTTTAATTCTTTTCTTTCTTTCTTTTTATTGCTTTCTTACTTTTCATTTTAAAATCTTTCTTTCTGCCTGACATTACCTTTCATTCTTTTCTTTTCTATTCTTTCTTTCTTTCTTTCTTTCTTTCTTTCTTTCCCTCTCTCGAGGCCACGTTTCTTTCTTTCTTTCTTGCATACATTTTCTTTCTTTCTTTCTTTCTTTCTTTCTTTCTTTCTTTCTTTCTTTCTTTCTCCTCTCTCGAGGCCACGTTTCTTTATTTCTTTCTTGCATACAGTTTCTTTCTTTCTTTCTTTCTTTCTTTCTTTCTTTCTTTCTCCTCTCTCGAGGCCACGTTTCTTTCTTTCTTGCATACAGTTTCTTTCTTTCTTTCTTTTTCTTTCTTTCTCCTCTCTCGAGGCCACGTTTCTTTCTTTCTTGCATACAGTTTCTTTCTTTCTTTCTTTCTTTCTTTCTTTCTTTCTTTCTTTCTTTCTTTCTTTCTTTCTTTCTTTCTTTCTTTCTCCTCTCTCAGGGCCCGTTTCTTTCTTTCTTGCATGCAGTTTCTTTCTTTCTTTCTTTCTTTCTTTCTCCTCTCTCGAGGCCACGTTTCTTTCTTTCTTGCATACAGTTTCTTTTTTTCTTTCTTTCTTTCTTTCTTTCTTTCTTTCTTTCTTTCTCCTCTCACGAGGCCACGTTTCTTTCTTTCTTGCATACAGTTTTCTTTCTTTCTTTCTTTTTTTTTCTTTCTTTCTTTCTCCTCTCTCAGGCCCACGTTTCTTTCTTTCTTTCTTGCACACAGTTTCTTTTCTTTCTTTCTTTCTTTCTTTCTTTCTCCTCTCTCGAGGCCACGTTTCTTTCTTTCTTGCATACAGTTTCTTTCTTTCTTTCTTTCTTTCTCCTCTCTCTGAGGCCACGTTTCTTTCTTTCTTTCTTGCACACAGTTTCTTTCTTTCTTTCTTTCTTTCTTTCTTTCTTTCTTTCTTTCTTTCTTTTCTTTCTTTCTCTCTCTCTCAGTACACGTTTCTTTCTTTCTTGCATTTTGTTTCTTTTCTTTCTTTCTTTTTTCTTTCTTTCTCCTCTCTCAGGCCACGTTTCTTTCTTTCTTGCATACAGTTTCTTTCTTTCTTTCTTTCTTTCTCCTCTCTCGAGGCCACGTTTCTTTCTTTCTTGCATACAGTTTCTTTCTTTCTTTCTTTCTCCTCTCTCGAGGCCACGTTTCTTTCTTTCTTTCTTGCATACAGTTTCTTTCTTTCTTTCTTTCTTTCTTTCTTTCTTTCTTTCTTTTCTTTCTCCCTCTCTCAGAGGCCACGTTTCTTTCTTTCTTGCATACAGTTTCTTTCTTTCTTTCTTTCTTTCTTTCTCTCTCTCGAGGCCCGTTTCTTTCTTTCTTGCATACAGTTTCTTTCTTTCTTTCTTTCTTTCTTTCTTTCTTTCTTTCTCCTCTCACGAGGCCACGTTTCTTTCTTTCTTGCATACAGTTTCTTTCTTTCTTTCTTTCTTTCTTTCTTTCTTTCTCCTCTCTCGAGGCCACGTTTCTTTCTTTCTTTCTTGCACACAGTTTCTTTCTTTCTTTCTTTCTTTCTTTCTTTCTCCTCTCTCGAGGCCACGTTTCTTTCTTTCTTTCTTGCATACAGTTTCTTTCTTTCTTTCTTTCTTTCTTTCTCCTCTCTCGAGGCCACGTTTCTTTCTTTCTTTCTTGCATACAGTTTCTTTCTTTCTTTCTTTCTGTCTTTCTTTCTTTCTCCTCATTCGAGGCCACGTTTCTTTCTTTCTTTCTTGCATACAGTTTCTTTCTTTCTTTCTTTCTTTCTTTCTTTCTTTCTTTCTTTCTTTCTTTCTCTCTCTCGAGGCCACGTTTCTTTTCTTTCTTTCTTGCATACAGTTTCTTTCTTTCTTTCTTTCTTTCTTTCTTTCTTTCTCCTCTCTCGAGGCCACGTTT